AATCATGAGCATCAATAAATATTGTATAATCTTACATAAAATGTAATAAATAATGTCCGTTTTTGGAAAGCTAAGTATGGACAACACCCGTTTAGCATCGACTCGGGTCATAGGGGCTCATGTTGCCGGTTATACAATCTATTCGGAAAGTGTGGCCGCGAGTTGTGGCGGGAATCCGATGGGCCATTAGTGATGGTCGAACAACGAAGTTCTGGACGGATTATTGGCTTCCGTCGGGCACTACTTTAATTTCTGTAGCTACAGTGGTGATTCACCAGGACATGCGGGACCAGCCCGTTTGCTTTTTCACGTCAGATGCAGGCGAATGGAGTTGGTCTGTATTTTCGCACATGCTCTCGGCGTCTGTTTTACTCCAGATTGTGGCGGTCCTGATACCGAGTTCGGCACAGGGACGAGACAGGCTATATTGGAGCCACTCTTCAACCGGGGCTTTCTCCACCAAGTCCGCGTACAACTCACTCGTGGAGGATAATCCCCTGGCTGCGCGGGCTCTTTGGAAACCGATTTGGACATGGTCGGGATCTCCACGTATACGAAGCTTTCTTTCGTTGCTAATGAGGAATCGACTCCTTACTAACTCAGAAAGGTGTCGGCGGCACTTGACGAATTCGAATGTATGCATGGTGTGTGGGCTTGCCGAGGAGACATCACTACATGTAGTTCGAGACTGCATGTTGGCTAAGGAAATTTGGAGGAGACTGCTTCTGGGGACCACGTATGTGAAGTTCTTCGGGTAATCGGGTTGCACTTGGAACAGTGGATTAACCTTAACCTGTTACATTGGACAGAACTTGGTCATGCGTGGGATCAAACTTTTGGTGTGGTGGTGTGGATGCTATGGAAGTGGCGTAATGAACTTATTTTTCAAGGTAGGAGACGGGCCTTACCGTCGTACATGAAGGATATTACTATATATATCGACGGGTTGTCTAAGTTCCTTGACGACGCGCAGAAACTTTGTGGAACAGCCGACTTCATGTACCTCGTTGGATTCGGTGGATGGGCCTTTACCAGTATGGGTGAAGATGAACTCCGATGGCTCGTATAACGAGGTGTCAGGATTGGGTTGTGCGGGTGGCCTCTTTCGGGATGAAAATGGAAATTGGCTAGGGGGATTTATGATGAACATTAGGTACTGTTCGATTATGGTGGCGGAGTTATGGGGGCTTTTTCGGGGTCCTTCCTTGGCTTTGACCTTGGCTTTCGGCAAGTAGAGGTAGAGGTGGATAATGCTAGTGTTGTGAGATTTTCGGAATCTTTAGTTGATATACAGAAAGTGCATGCAGGTTTAATTATGGGGATCAAAGACCTCTTGAGTCGCTCTTGGCAAGTAAAGGTGAAACACGTGTTCCGCGAGGCGAATTTCGCAACCTACCACATGGATTCCTTCGCTGCGGAGGGTTCGGTGGGATATCAGTATTTTAATGTGCCTCCTGTTGGGGTTCGACAGTGGCTGCACCGTGATGTGATTTTTGTTATACTCGCGTAACGTGAGTGACTTAAACTTATAAGGCATTGGCCTCTTCGTTTGTAACAAAAAAAAAAGACACTTTGAAGACCCAAAAAAAAAACAACCATAACTTTTGAAAAACATAAGTACCTCTCAATATAATCAGGCGCTCCATGCTTGATATGAGTACCTTCACCAGGAAACCACCATAGCTTATCCATCTCATGCACCCAATTTTCCCTTCTTTAACCTCTGCAAAATGCGTATGGTTCACATTGCTTTGCCAAACGTAGTCCCTATTGGTGGGCCACCTTATCAGCATCTTATACTACACAAGCGTCCAACAAAGGGAGGACAATGCCACTCAAGCTCCTCTTTTCTTCACCAGCTTCGGTGACTACGGGAAGGTCGTGGTGCGAACCGCTCGAGTAGCAAGAACTTAAGAAAAAAATTAAAATTTTCTAAGTAATGTCCCAAATATCATATTTTATCTTTTTTTTTCCTCAAAATGTGCTGACTGTTTCACATATTGGAAGGTTAATGGAGTTCATTTTTCAGGTGAACTTAAGGGGTAGTTCTTGAAAATATCCAGTTTTATTTATTTGAACAAAATATTGGACAGAATAACCATAAATATGCATATATGCTTTATCAATTTGTGTTGGTATGATAATTTATTTCTATTGAATTGTAATTGAAGCCTGCAGTGTGCTTTCATCTTGTGTAGGTAGACCATTCAATAATAGAGAGTTTCTGTCAATTTATTTATTGTTTATAATTAGATAAATCTCAGGTGTAAACGAAAGACAATTCTATAAAGGCAGGTCACGAGCGCGATTGATTTAGCTCTCTCGTCCCATCCTCTAACTACTCCACCAACCAGGTAGGCAACTCACTAAGTAGAGTTTCTAATGTTAGCCTTTTTGCGTATGGCATCGCCCCTCCCTTTGGTAGCATCCTCTAATTCGAAACTTAATTTGAAAGCCTTATTCAAGAACTTGTATTTTCTATTTGCCATTTCGCTTACATTGTGCGCGTAAAAATAATAACAATAATAATAATAATAATAATAATAATAATAATAATAATAATAATAATAATAATAATAATAATAATAATAATAATAATAATAATAGAAAAGAGAACATAACATTGTCTATCTTTGAAGAATAATGTTAAAGGAGCTACGGAAAAGATGGAAAATGCATGATATCTTGCTCGCAAGCACTGCAAATATATATACTTGGAATCTCATCATTCTCTGGGATTTTCACGCACCGCGTGTGCTGCCAAACTTGACATATATCACATGTCACCATCCTCTCCCCATCGTCATCTTTGGCACCACACAGGCAATCCACAACCATACTTAGGCCTCCACCAGCCAATCCTTGTTGCAGCTGCCACTCAAACACCATTTTGCTTCCTGGTTTAACACTCTTAAAAACAAAATCCGACCTTTTGTTAACTATGGGGTTTCCGGCCATAAACTCCCTTAACCCCACGTATGTTTCTCTAAATATCTTCTCAACTCGACACCTTAGCTCCTCAAACCTTGTGTTGCTCCTCAAGTTGAAGCAATGGTATGGCGTACTAATAATATTATTGGTCATGACCCCTTTTTCCTTTGGTTTTTCATTACCACTAGTTATAAAGACATTAACAGCGCAGTATATCCTCCACATGCTGGTCTCGTCATACGTTTCCAAATCCCCACGGTATTCTTTCATGAGATACTTGGAATCAAGAATGACTCTTGAAGCATTTTTAGCCAAAACACCGTCGACATAACCGTGCATCATCGTATTTTCATTAGGCCGCGCGTTTAAAATATTTTTATACGCACAGAAAATGTCTGTGGTGAGCTGACCCCAAGATACCTTAATTTGTTGTTTACCCTCGAAATCGATGTTAGCCGCCCTCGAGACGTCCTCCAAGCAATATTCCAACACCTTGGTGACTGGATTAAGACATCTTCTCACAAAGTATTTCCCCACCATGTGATTGCCCAATGACTTGAGCACAAAATCAAGCAGGCCTGTGTCGCCAATATACGTTCGCGCAACATCTCTCACGTTCTGCCTAGAAACCCATTGAAACTCAGCCCGTTTAAGGGCCTCAACTACCACATGGATGGCCATCTCGACACGCTTGGGAGACCACCTACAGGACGTGTCCGACATGATCCGCGGGTAGTGGGAGTCGAATATCGCATTATTAATGTTTTCTT